TGTCGGCAGCGGCTGGTGGTAAATGGTAAACACCCACAGGCACCGCCGACACTGTCACAGGGGGTGTACCGCCACACACAGAGGGTGTACATGCACCTGAATGCACCCTCTAGATGCCAATGCCACTAATCTATCTAATTATAAAATTATAACTAATTTATCTAATTATTATCTAATGGATCTAATCTATCTAATTATAAAAAGCTATTTGGAAGTGCTTTGTTCAAAGTGTTGGTACCAAGGGCCACATTGTGAATTGCCCCTGCAGTCTCACAGGGGTGAGAAAGAACTTTCCCTCACACTAAGGCCAATGGGCAAGAAGACCACCCACAATAGCAGTCAGCACTCACTGTGCTCTGGGAGCACAGAGGGGCTTTTTGTTCTTCCTACAAACTCACTGGAAAAATGTGGGCCTACACTTTGTACATCAGTTCACTCAATGTAAAAATCATTTATGACATCTACCACACAGAAAGGCTTAACTAACATAAAACATTCTGAGATCCTCAAAGTACTTACACTATCCAAGTAAAAATATTTTATTATTAAGAAGCCCTTTTAAAACAAAGCATCCCTTTTACAAAGTGGATAAGAGAATCTAGTGCATAATTGTTGTAAACCTTCACCTCCTTTCAAATTCCTTCTAAAGCCACAAGTGAAACTAATGCATTGGTCCCCCCTGTTTTACTTAGCACGCTTACAGTCTCTTTTCCAGATTAGAAATGAGGTGCATTGCCAAAGGTATCCGAGGAAGCTGACATTGTGGGCATGTCTACATGTGCCCTTATAGTGCCATTGTTACTGTGCTGTCATTTACTACTTCTTTTTGGAAGTACTAGATGATGGCACAGTAACAGCCTGTACTCTGCCTTGTTAGCGGCGCACAGTTACTTTTAGCCGCTCTGTTGCCTTAGCAATACGCTATAGGGAGGGAGCATGCTGCTATGGCAATGGCAATGTATCTGTGGCATCAAATTTTGGGCCCACCAATGCTACATGGTCATAACACATTGCCACAACACTGTAGCATCTCATGTAGACGCGCCCAGTGTCTCTTTCCAGGCCTAAATGTCAAGGTAAAGCAAAATATTTCCAGTGCTTTAAACATAATAAACCTCATTAAACTGTTACCAATCTAATATATGTTATATTAAAAGCCACAAAGCCAGAAGCTTCAAAATCCAGTCATGGGTATTTCTGGGGTTATTACTCCAGTGATTTTCATTAATCAATTGAACTGAAATTCTTTTAGCTGCAGTAGTGAATTAAGCACAAATTGCAAAACCTTAACTTCAAATCTTTGGGCTTTAGTTTAATTCAACCCCATATGGTTATTTCATATCCTTTAGGGTATCTGTTTACTTGATCATATATTATACAGCATTAGTGGCAATTGTAGCACCTTCACCAACTGGAATAAAAGTTAATCGAGAATTGACTGGTTCAGAATATGATTCCAAGGCTTCCTCTTTCATTAGCTTGAACAACATTGTTCTTTTGAGAAACATCAATAAAATGAAAAAATTATGCTGAATGGAACTGTATAGCACTGAATCACAAAACTGCTGGTGGGTTTCCATGTTATTGCTAGCCCGTGTGCTTTTTTACATTAAAGTAGTGTTAGAATAATGTAGACAAAATGGTCCAGGAATTATGTGAGAGGCAAGGATTACTTAGGTTAAATTTTTTATTGGACCAACTGCATACTTGGGATAGAATTAGACAAGCATCTGAATGCGAGACATTCTTCTTCGGGTCACATTAAAGGCTGTTGTGATACAAAGGCATGGCTAAGATGAGGACAGGACAAAAGGGCAGGTGTATTTGCAATATGATTTTGGTGTATATTTTGATTTTGCCTGGATTTTGAGAGAAGCCTCTGACTCCTGCAAGATGAAGCCATAAGCACCACAAAAAGCTGTAAATGACACAATTCAGTAGACAGTCTGCTTAGCAACATTGGTTGCTAAGAACAATTCAACTAAATCATTTGGACCTGCACTGGTTCCCTACTGAATAGAAACCTTAGCTTAAGGTCTCTTTTGATATTCAAAGCTTTACATGTTATTACTCCTAGCTGTTGGAGAGATCACTTCTCCTTCCATGGCCATAGCCACTATATCCCAATGGAGCAACACTGCCAACTGGCAGGAGAAAAATGTAACTTGTACAGGGGCTGCTGTTACATCATTCTCACAAGAGATAAGAATTATCACAGACCTCACAGTATTCTGAACTAAACTCAGAACTGATTAATTTGAGTTAGCTTTGCCTCGGTAGGTTCTTTGCACCTAAGACATAACTCAAAACTCTGTAAGCTAATCAAGCTATTCTTCCCCAAAAACTGGAAAGGAGAAAAAGAGTGAAAATATTACATTACTTCCATGTATAAATATTTGGGAGGCATCCATATGATATCATGACAGGTAGGATAGCACCCAAGTATAAGGGACAGTATGCCAAGATTAATTGCCACATTTCTGGGTGCTTAACCAAGTGAATTAAAATGACACCAAGCCCTGCAACTACCGCATGTACACATTAGTAAGAAAAAGACACAGACTGCACGGTCTCAGGACAGTGAACATTTGTATTGTATACAAATCAGTTTGAATTGCCAGTGAAGGATACTATTATAAGGCCCAATCTTCCTTCTGTAGAAGTCAATGAAAGCAGGATTGGCTCCCTAAAAAAAGTGTTTGCTTTTTAAACTACTTAAATGTATATTTAATGTTTTCCTCTTAGCAATGGAATCAATAAAAAATAGTTTAACAATTGCTCATTTTCTCTGCTCATCAGTTACTGAAGCTCCCAAGCAAATCTATTTCCTCATTTTTATCTGCACTGTCTCTCAAGAGATCTTTCTTAGCACAAAAGCAACCTCATTTATTACATTGTAAAGTGTGGGGGGGGGGGAAGCATTTTTGAACATTTATTGTAGAATTTAAACATTGGTGTATACAAGATCAGCCCCTTAAAGTTCTACATAGGAAGCCTGTAGAAGGAGAAAGGAAGGATTTCCTTGAAAGTATTTCCAATTGATAATCAAGTAATTTAAACAAGTTTGGCACCATTTGACTTTTACCTTAAGCATCGGATAAATGCAGGAAGAATGATGAGGCTGAATTAATTAATATTCATTTCATGCCATTAATACAGGAAGAATTGTATGTTTTCTTAGTCATCTATATGCATATAAATACTAATATGCCTCCTTTTTTTTTTTTTTAATGGCAGCTAATGTACTGGAAGAAGACTCAATGGACCAGGACATAGAGAGCCCTGTCACTATTCACCAGCCAAAGTTGCCCAAACAAGCTAGAGAGGATCTGCCAAAAAATATAAACAAAGAATGTACCAAGAGAAAAATCCAGCGGTATGTCAGGAAAGATGGGAAATGTAACGTCCACCATGGAAATGTGAGAGAGACTTACCGTTATCTGACTGATATCTTCACTACCTTAGTCGATCTCAAATGGAGGTTCAACCTGTTTATTTTCGTCATGGTTTATACTGTGACATGGCTTTTCTTTGGAATGATCTGGTGGCTAATTGCTTACATCCGAGGAGATATGGAACATATAGGGGACACTTCATGGACCCCATGTGTCAGTAACCTCAACGGGTTTGTCTCAGCTTTTTTATTCTCAATCGAGACAGAAACCACCATTGGCTATGGCTATCGGGTCATCACAGACCAATGTCCTGAGGGAATTATTCTGCTACTAGTTCAGTCTGTTTTAGGTTCTATTGTCAATGCTTTTATGGTTGGTTGCATGTTTGTAAAAATATCTCAACCCAAGAAGAGAGCAGAAACCTTGGTTTTTTCTACCAACGCTGTCATTTCCATGCGGGATGGGAAACTATGTCTGATGTTCCGCGTAGGAGACCTTAGGAATTCACACATTGTGGAGGCATCAATACGGGCAAAACTGATCAAATCTAAACAGACCAAGGAGGGGGAATTTATACCACTCAACCAGACAGATATCAACGTAGGTTATTACACTGGGGATGATCGTCTCTTTTTGGTCTCACCGCTGATCATCAGTCATGAAATTAACCAGCAGAGTCCTTTCTGGGAGATTTCCAAAGCCCAGCTGCCCAAAGAGGAACTAGAAATTGTTGTAATCCTAGAAGGAATGGTGGAGGCAACAGGTAATGGTTCTTAGCTTTGTATAAAGTATGTGCTTTAACTTTAACAAGAAACTTATTTCAGATATAAACTGTATTCAAGAGAAAAATACAGTGCAAATCTGGATTGGGCTGGATGTTATACTCCTGGCTTGCATGCACTCTTGCCATAAACAACCTTTATTTGCACCCCATCTTAGAAGAATCACTTCTACAACAATGTAATCAAGTGTTACATTTTGCAAAAAGATTTCTGCAGTGTTGTAAGATTTAAAATTAAAAGCATGCTCTCTTTAATTGTCCATTCAGCCCTGTCCAATGAAACTGGATTAGTTTCTGATTTGTTTTGAAAATGGTATGACATTTCCTCCTTTTTAAATTTTCCAGAGTGTGCCACCAGTTATTCATCACCCTATCACAGGAGGAAGTCAAGCCTGTAGAAGTTAGGGTGATAAATGGCTTTACAAAAATCTAATCTAACCCCCTGTTTAGACAATGGGCAGGTTCCATAGGTTCTTCTGCTTTCAGCTACTCATGGGTAATGTTATGATAACTGCTTGCCATGTGTGTTTCTACCATGAAATTCCCAGAAGGTGTTTAGACTGAGTAGGAAATGATATGTTCAGTTTATCATTTTTGCCTGCTTGTTTGCTTGTTTTTGTTTTACCTTCTAACGTTGGGTCTGGTTCTATTTTTAGATCATAAGACATCAGACTTATTTTATTTGCATTGAGGTTCCCTGGCAGTGCATGAAAACATTAAAGTAGTATACCAAGTAACATCCATTGTAAGGCTCTGTATACTGCAGAGCAATGTAAATGAGCCTTAGTATAAATAAGAATCTGGACCCGAGTGTGTTCTGGCTTGACATTACACATCAGGGTGCAATACCATATTATAATCCTTTTAGTTGAATACTGAGGACACAGTGCTTTTAACTCTGAATTGCAGGATGCCTATGAAGAGAAAAACTAAGTAGAGCTGGGATTCTTGCTCTAACAATCAGTCAGAGGGGTCATATGCTTCGCACCCTGCATTGCTGTGAGATTCTTTCAAGGGTGCCACATAATATTAGCACTGTTAGGTATGCAAACACCTACACATGATTCACAAGTCAAATCCAGAGATTTCAAGTAGGAATCCATAGTGTCAAAACCACCTATTGTGGTCTTTCTGAATCCTGAATTGCTCTATTAGTTTTCTGTAATAAAAAAAATGAGTGAATTGTTTTTTTGAAATGGGGTGCCACTAAATTCAGAAACATTATGAAGTGGTACCCTGAGTCTAAAAACATTGAAAACTACTGACCCAATGTAACACAAGCCAATGGACTCAGAGAATAGGACTATGAACCTTTGTTACCCCAACTCACATTTTCAACTGGAGCAAACAGCAGCTCTTGCCAACACATGTGTGTGTTTGTATCACATTTTTATTATATGGTGTCAGAAGAAAACTGAGTTTGACACCATATAATAGAAGTGCGAGACAAAAATGGAGCAAATGAAGCCCTCAATTTTGAAAGAAACTTGGCAGAGAATTTGAAGTGGTGGCTGCAGGGCTTCCAAATTTTTCTCAAAGTAGGTGGTATTGAAGAGAAGTTGAGAAGGTGAAACACATAGCATTTTTGATGCACATGGCAGGCCCAGAGGCATTGTAGATTTGCAGTGCATTCAAATGACAGCATGAAGAAGACTGCTAGATAAAGTCATTCAGAAACTTTCAAAATATTTTGATCTATGCAAATAAATGAACTGCAGAGACCAGAGGCTTTTTACTAGTGCTTCTGACCTGGAGTGTTACCAAACAGTGAAAAAGCACCTCTAAAAATGCAAGAGCCAAGGATGTCTTAGGCCTTTTATTGGACTATGTAGTTTGGATAAAGAATGAGGAAGAATGTCTTGCATTGAAAGCTTGTCTAACAGTATCCCAATTACATAGCTGGTTCAATAAAAGATATCGCCCTAAGACATTCTTGCCTCTTGTGTATTTTCTGGATCATCACAGCTACATCACTCACACATTCCCATAACATGGAAGATATCTAATTAAAACACATACAAAGTCATAAGGACACAACACTTTTCCATCACATCAATACAAACTACTTGTCTTCACTTCCAAGACTACGCCCCCAACCTACCTATCATCTCTCATTTATCAAAAGATGTCAAATGCCCTATTCTGCCTTGGTAAAAGGACCAAGCTTTAATGATGAGGGATTTCTCATCCTGGTCCATTTATTAAAAATGGTACAAGCCTGGTTTCAAATTTAAATGCAATTAAATTTGTTGCATTTAAATTAATTGTTGTTGCCAGGATAGGTGCGGTGCGCCTCACTGATTTGAGAAAGTTCTGATGCCATCTAGCACAGAAGGATATTGACCACTTGGACTAACTCTGAATCAGTTTCCAGGTCCAACATGTTGAATGGCAAAGTACTGCAGTGCGAATGCCACTGTCAACATTTATGGCAGGAATATGAGGGAGTTCTGAGGTTCAAGCAGCATAATACATTCGGCTGAGCTTGAATATCACAAAGATTTATGACATGGTAGCATCACAGTGATAAACATGTTTACTAGGGCTGTGTTTTGGTACAGAACTAGACACTTGTTCCATGTGTTACCTACAGATGTTGGCTCTATTTGTTGCTGGCACACACTGAGCCAACTTTCTAACAAAACTATACGTTTTCCCCGTCATTCCAAAAATATTCTCTTCAGTTATATTTTGGCAAATCTTGAGGATGTGTGTTTATATCACCATAAGCTTACATTGATTTTTAACACCAGCTGCAGAATGAAAGTAACAACAGAGCTATTCTTCTATACTATTCATGAAAAAGGATGCTAACCATAAATGATAGACCAAGACTGACCTAATCAGAGCATCAGAAAAATAAGACTGGAAGGGCCCTACAGAGGCTACTTAGTCCAACACCCTGCTTAAGATAGGATCATCCTTGTCTAAAACATCTAAGACAAAAGTTATCCAACCTGCACGTAAAAAGTTTTGATGACAAACTCCACCACTCTTGGTAATCTGTTCTACTGCTTACCCATCCTCATAGTGAAAAAGTTCTTCCTAATATCTAATCTAGAACTTTAATCACTTGTGTTGCCCTTCTCTCTCCAATTTTTCCACATCTTTCTTAAAAGATGATACCTCAACTAGACATGATATACTCTAGGTAAGGCCCCTGGGACTTGAATAAAACACTCCTATTAGCACAGCCCAATATGCTATTAGATTTCTTTGCAAAATTATTGAGTCATATGCAGCTTGTCATTCACAATAGCCTCCCGATCCTTTTCCGCAGCCCAGGCAGTGATTCCCTGTTTAGTATTTGTATATTCAATTATTCGTTCCTAAGTATAGTACTTTGCACATATCCTTATTGAATTTCATCCTATTTTAGACCATTTTTCCAATGTATCCAAGTTATTTTGGATCTTAATCCTGTCCTCTAATGTGACTTGGAACCAATCCAAATTGTTGTCAACCACAAATTTACTAAATGCACTTTCCATTCTGTTCTCCAAATCATGAATGGAAATATTAAATAGTATCAAACCTAGAATTTACCCCTGGGGAATCCCTGTGGATACCTCCTGTGATACTGTACTACTGATGATTGCTTTTTGAGCATGATTATCCAACTAGTTATGTACTTACCTTAGAGCAGTCTCATCTACAGCATATTTCCTTAGTTTATTTATGAGAATGTTATAGGGGACAGGGTCAAAAGCCTTATGGGAATTAATGCCCCATCTTATCATAGGAAAAAAAAACAGCCCTCCCTCAATTTTTAGAGCTTCTCCATATTGCCTTGTAGATCCCTTAGCTGAGGTGGCAAAAATAGCAGAAAAGGTAAAAGTTGTTGCTGGTGATTTTACACCAGTTAACTGCAGAAAGCAGGTCTTTAATGATACTTTATACTTAGAATTTTCCTTATGAAAGTTTCCAAAGCACAGCTACCTCTGGTGCAAAGCTCAGCTTTTTATCAATGCATGCCAGCACTGCACAATGTGTTAGGACAAGAAATAAAGAAAAGCACACCAGGTGAACTCCAGAACAAAGGGAACTGAGGTAGGCAACATGTGAGGAACTAAACTCGAGTTTAGTCAAAGCACCATAAACTTTTAAATAGTGCCATGCTATCTTCATGTGGTACTCACTACTCAGATGAGTGGGACCAGACACAAGTAGACAGATAGACACTAAAATATCAGCATCTAGAGCAGCACTGCAGCCTCTTATTCCATAGCTATTCCTGTGTGAAAGTTGCATTGTAATAACTACAGCTGTCTTTAGGTGCTCACCCCACCCATGAGATTAAAACTGGGCTGACTGCCTCAAACAATACATGAAATTACTCAAAACATTTTCGTCTTAAAATTTCTGCTATGTCTCCTTCAAGTATATCAAACACAAAAAAGGAAACACTATAAACAGGGATATTTAGAGTTCAAACTATGCAACTCTTTCTTAGAACTTTACTCTTTTGGTTATCATGATGGTGTTACAGGTCGTTGGAGCATCTGTAACCCACTGTGAGGGTGTGTTACAGGACCTCCTCCTCTGTGCTGATCACACCCTGCTAAACAACCTCAAATAGCATACACTTGGTAATTTATCTTTTAGCCATTACAGCTCATGCTTTTAACTCCAGAGATTCCCTGATTCAATCACTGGTATGTTAGCCAAGAGGAAGACCATGACATCTGCATAGACTAATATGGGTAACTATGACCAAAACCCTAAAGCCAGCTTACAAAATTTGCCTGTCACAATTATCTAGTCATAGTTTCATAGTTGGTAGGGTTGGAAGGGACCTGAGCAGATCATCAAGTCCAGCCCCCTGCCATGGGCAGGAAAGACTTCTGGGGTCAAACGACCCCAGCTAGGTGATTATCTAGCCTCCTTTTGAATACCCCCAGGGTAAGAGCGAGCACCACTTCCCTTGGAAGTTAGTTCCAACTCCTAGCCACCCTGACTGTGAAATAGTGCCTCCAGATGTC